GCCACTACCGACTCAGACTCAGAAAGGGGGTCTTCGTCAGCCACCCCTACACAACGGGCCTCCTGCAGCAGAGAGCAGACACGGGTATAGGACCCAGCGCCCGGCCTCGCCTCCACTGCTCTTGCAGCAAATCGTAAGCCGGAGATGGCAGCACCGTCGCAGGGCTCAACCGGGATCGCACACCAAGCTGCCGCACGAACCCAGGCAGGCAGCTCGGCCACCGGATGGGCAGGGGAGACACAGTCCGACGCCAGGCCGCCGGCAGCCCGTCGCGCTCTTCCCCTACCCACCAAGACGCAAAACCAGGAGCCCAGCTCTCCTGACCACAGTCGCCAGGAGACAGCGTGTCAGCACCTACCTGCAGATCCAAAATGACAACTGCAGGCATACAAATTCCCTTCCAGGGGACAACGGGGACAATGTGTGGGACACAGCCACCCCTCAGATGGGGGCCCGGGTCACAAGTCCCCAAGAACATACCTATCGACGACGGGGCGTGCTCCTGTGGCCACCTGGTTGACCCAAGGAGTTAGAAAAACAAACACGCTTACAGTCCCACCAGCGGCCACGACCTGGACCCTTGTGCGGGCGACAACTGTCAGGCAGGGAGCCAGCCCCACCAACGGCCCCAGCCCGGCGGCCCCGTGGCCCGGGGCCTCGCAGCCCCGACAACAGCCACAACCGGGTCCCCTAGTGTGGAGGCAGTGATAAAGGGTGTGCTGGTCGACCCCATGCACTCTAACGGTACTCCAGCACGATGACATTCAGGAGCGCGCAGACACCTACCCACCCCCGCAGCTGCCCGCCTGCTCACTTGCAAGCCTCCAGGCCCAATCTCCCAGCAGCACACCAGCCAGCAAGGTCCCAGCAGGGCTGCGACTCTCCCGCCTGCAGCTTGGGGACTTTATTACACCCTGTCCCGGGCTCTCCACCCACCTGTTTCCCCTTGCCGGCTCCGGAAAAGGGAAAAGGCAGCCAGAAAATAAAAAGGAACCACCAACATCGAGAGAGAAAAGAGAGGCAGGGAGAGAGAGAGAGAATGAGCACTGAAAGGAAGGCAAAAGTACAAAAACTAGGAAAGGAGAAAGACAACATAAAGGGAAGCAATGGAAGCAGTAGGGGAAACACACACACACACACACACACACACACACACACACACACAAACAAAAAATGGCCAGACAGACACGAGTGAAAGAGATGAGGGAAGAAAATAAATCCAGAATGAGACCGCGAGAGAAAAGCCTCTAGGAAAAGGGAGAGAATGTAAAGATGAACAATGTCGAATAAAGGTGGGAGTCAGAAGTGAAATTCTCTGAGACGCAGGGGAGTGGGAGAAGGAGAGGGGACAGGTCAAAGGAGAAAGCGAAAGAGAGGAAAGCGGCGGTATTCAGCAATCAAAGCAGAGAGAGAGGGAGTCTAAAAGGAAAGGAGAGATCCAAGAAGAAAGAAATCAGGAAACATCCCCGGGGAGGCAACAGATCCCCCGCCTGGACGGAGCAAGCAGGAGAGCACCTCGAGAGACGCACGCACAGTGCAGTCCCGGCCCGGTGCAAGGACGGTTTGTGCAGCGCCGCCCGCCGCCGCCGCCGCCCGGCCAGCAAGCCAGAAGCCCGACTGTGCTGACTGCGCCTGCGCTAAACCCACTGTTTCCCTCCCTCCCCCTCCCTCCTTTCCTCGCCCCCCCCAAACTCCACGCCAACCGCCACCCCGAGGCCTCGCGAGACTTGAGGCTAGTTCTGCTGTCAGCGCCATCTTGGTTTTTGTCTCATGTCCGATCCGGTACTGTGGCCACTAGATGACGCGCAGACCCCGCGATTGGATTCTTGAAACACGCTGCGGTTCCCGGTGTGGAGTTAGTTGGGGCTGCGACGGGGCGGGGATGATGAAGGATGGGGGAGCAGGAAGAGCAAAGGCAAGAGATAACAACGACAACGCTGAGTCTCGAGCCCAGGGGTCAGTTCCAGATTCATCCCTTGGGCCATGTGTTTCCAGGCCCAGCTCTCCCGGGGAACCTCATCCGGTAATGAGACAGAGACAGAGAGAGAGAGAGAGAGAGAGAGAGAGAGAGAGAGAGAGACTGCCTCACAAAAATCAGAAACCCAGTTCAGTCCATCTCAATGCTCCCAACCGCGTTGGGACAGCAAAGATTTCCCTATACACACAGCTAAAACCCAGTCAGCGCCTCACCCCAAGTCCGTTCTTAGTCTCTCGCGGGCCTTGGCCGCTAGGTGTCGCTGTTAATGTGTTTGCCCTGTGTCCTTGGTCTTCCTGACACTGCCCCGCCCCCACCCCCCCACTCCTGCTGTTCATCTCTGCACTCTCCCTCCCCCCTCCTGCCCATCTCTCTCTGCCACCGGTTCTCGCTCACCCGCCCGCCCGCCCCGTGTGGAGACAGTCAGTCAACAGTAACTGACTTTTTCGTCTCTTTTCTTTCTGCGTCGCCCGTTTCTCTTCTTGCCCCTCCTTGCCAGGTGTCCTCCACTTTCTCTTTCTTTCTTTTTTTCAGATATATATGTATTTTTATCGATTTATTTCTTGTGAGTTTTTGAATGACGTGTTATGTTACAATTTCGCCGAGATCAGGATTCCCCCTCCCCCCTGGCTCCCACCCTTGTAAGAGCTTAGAATAACCGCTTGATTTTGCTTCTGTATATTGCTTTCTGCTGAGCAAGAGTAGAGCCATGTTGGAATAAATATAGAAAAGTTATTTCATGAAGCAAGTAAAAGTTTCAGTTTCCCAGACATGAACAAGGCAGCTGCAGGAATAAAGGAGAGAAGGTAGCAAGGCCGGAGCAGCAAGGCCAACACAAGAATGTAGTGGATAAGGAAGGGAGGCACAACAGTCTGAGAAAGCACAGACTGTTATGCCAAGCCAAGGGAGCCCTGGCGCTGTCTAATCTTAAAGTAAAATGCTAGCTGTTATGCGAAGTTTGCGGTTTTGTCCTTTAAAAAGGTGCTTTAACCTGCTTGGGGCGCGCAGAGTCCTGGGTGCCTCCAGATTACTCTGTTGCCCATTCACGAATGCTCAATAAAATCCTCATGCTTTTTACAGCCTCTGCTTTGTGACTTGTCTTGCCGAACGGAGTGGCTCCCCTTCCACGGGGTTGGACTCTCCCCAAGTCTAACATTTTGGTGCATTGGCCAGGAATCAGGAGCAACCGTCCTCGGCAAGCAACATCCTAGCAGGGGGAGGTAAGACCGATCGGAAAGTGTGTATTTTTGTCTGTTGTTCTGTTCTGTCCTTGCCCCCCCCCCCCAGTCTTTGAATGGTACCGGTTTGATTTGAATTTGTACGCTGGAGGACGCTCCAGTGCTTTGGAGACGGGGTGAAGATCACGTCACCCTCGTCTGGCCTTGTATGGTCGCCCCAGAGTGGCCGTCTTGTATCTTGTATTGGGCCCTTTGGAAATCTTGTATCGCGCGAATCCTGTTTGTGTCATTTGTTTGTTTTGTAATTGTGTGTAGTCTCTTGTCTTTGAATATGGGTCAGGCTGAGTCTTCTCCCCTGAGTCTTACTCTCCAACATTGGCCTGACGTTTCCACCCGCGCTCACAACCTATCAGTGGAAGTGCGTCGAAAGAAATGGAAAACTCTCTGCACCGTTGAGTGGCCGACTGTCGCTGCTGCATGGCCGCCCAGCGGCACCTTTAATCTAACCACTATCTTGCAGGTGAAAGGCCTCATCCGGGCGACCCGGGCCATCGGGCCATGGGGCATCCCGACCAGTTACCGTATATCTTGGTATGGGAGGACCTCATGGTTAATTCCCCCCCCCCCTCCCCCCGCCGTGGGCTCAACCTTTTCTCATCGCACCCTGTCCTCCTCCTCCTCCTTCTCCAGAATTGCAGGCGCCTTCAGCTCCGCCCCTACCCCAACCCTCTGCTCTTGTTTCCCTCTGTCCGCTGGAAGCTACTCGTCCTCGACCTAAGCCTGTCCTGCCCGATGATAGTCAGATGGACCTATTAATGACCTCTGAACTTCCTCCACCTTATCCCCAGGAGCATCAACCTGAAGGAGAACCCCCAAGAGGAAGACCGGGGGAGATGGGCTCTCCAGACACCACTGTAAATGAACAGCCTGAAGCCAGATCCCCAATCCATACCAGGTTGCGGCTACGCAGGGCTCAATTGGAGGAGGGAGAAAGAGGAGAAGGGCAATGGTCTTCACAGTTGTACCCCTTGAGAATTGTAGGGGGGCAGGTCCAGTATTGGCCTTTCTCTGCCTCTGATTTGTATAATTGGAAAACTCATAACCCTCCTTTCTCCCAAGACCCCCAAGCATTAACGGGTCTCATCGAGTCCATCTTGTTGACGCACCAGCCGACTTGGGATGATTGTCAGCAGCTGTTACGGACTCTACTGACCACAGAAGAAGTCCAACGGGTGCTGATGGAGGCCAGAAAGAATGTCCTTCGGACTAATGGGCAGCCCACCCAACTTCCAAACGAAATTGATGAAGTGTTCAACCCTTGTCTGACCTAATTGGGACTTCGACACTCCAAATGGTAGGGAGCGTCTCCGTCTTTATTGCCAGACTCTGTTGGCGGGTCTCAAGCGTGCCCGGAAGGCGACCCACTAATTTGGCTAAGGTAAGAGCAGTTCTACAGGGAGCTGGGGAGACTCCCGCGGGATTCTTAGAAAGACTAATGGAAGCATACCGCATGTATACACCGTTTGATCCGGCAAGTGAAGATAGGCAGGGGGAAGTGATTATGGCTTTCATAGGACAGTCGGCACCAGACATTCGAAATAAGTTACAAAGACTAGAAGGATTGCAGACTTATAGCTTGCAGGACTTAGTAAAAGAGGCAGATAAAATTTTCAATAAGAGAGAGACTCCGGAAGAGAGAGAAGAGAGACTAAGAAAGATGCAGGAAGAGAGAGAGGATAAGAGAGATAAGCGACGGAATAAAGAACTGAGCCGTATCTTGGCCACTGTAGTTCATAACAAGCAAATAACATCCCAGGGAACTGAGATAGGGAGACAGTTTAGAGAACAGGGAGGTGAGCGGCGAAACCGTTTAGGGAAAGATCAATGTGCTTCTATTGCGACCCTGCTCAGGGACGCAAACAAACTGACCCTGGGACAGAAAGTCACAATAATAGCTCCACATGCTGTGGAGTCGGTTGTCCGCCAACCGCCAGACAGGTGGCTTTCAAATGCCCGCATGACTCACTACCAGGCTTTGCTCTTAGCTCCTGAACGCATTACTTTTGGACCAGTTGCTACGCTCAATCCCGCTTCCCTATTGCCGGAGCCGGGAACGGCCAAGGATGCCCCCCATGACTGCTCCCAGATTCTGGCCGAAGTTCATGGGACTCGTGAAGATCTAACTGACCAGCCTCTACCAGACGCGGAGGTAACCTGGTTCACAGATGGCAGCAGCTATGTCACCGAAGGAACTCGGCGGGCAGGAGCAGCAGTGGTGAGTAACAATGACTCCATAGTCTGGGCCAGTGCCCTAGAGCCAGGGACGTCGGCCCAGCGAGCTGAACTAATAGCCCTCACAAAGGCTCTAGAACTGGCGGCGGGAAAAGTAGCAAACATCTATACTGACAGTAGGTATGCTTTTGCTACGGCCCATGTGCATGGTGAGATTTATCGCAGAAGGGGCCTCTTAACTTCAGGAGGACGAGAAATAAAGAACAAGCAAGAGATAATAAACCTCTTGAGGGCACTATTCCTTCCAAAAAGACTGAGCATTATTCATTGTCCGGGCCACCAAAAAGGAACAGATCCAATAGCTAGAGGAAATAGACTGGCAGACCAGACTGCAAAAACTGTTGCCACTGAGCCAATCTCAGCCCTACCCCTGGAAATAAACTCAAAAAGGGGACCCGAAGAGACCAGGCAAAACACAGATGACATAGTCTGCAACTGGGGAGTTCCATTTAAATATACTGATAATGACAGAGCTCTCATGAAAGAACTCGAAGGGGAGTGGGATGCTAAGTGCAAAGCATGGAGAAAAGGAGACAAGGTCATCCTGCCCTATCGCATAGCTACTGAAATCATTGAACACCTCCACCGCCTCACTCATTTGAGCCGGAGAAAAATGCACGCTCTACTTGCAAATGAGAAATGCCCGTTTATAACTCCTGACCTGCAGTTTCTTACTCAAATTACAGTGGACCAATGCAAGCCTTGTGCCCAGGTAAACGCAGGGCGACTAAAACTCCCCCAAGGAGCCCGTGCCCGAGGACACCGACCGGGAATACAATGGGAAATAGACTTTACTGAAGTAAAACCGGGACTGTATGGTTATAAATATCTCTTAGTTTTTGTAGACACCTTTTCAGGCTGGGTAGAAGCCTACCCCACGAAGAATGAAACGGCCACGACAGTCGTTAAAAAACTCCTTGAAGAAATTTTTCCCCGGTACGGATTGCCGCAAGTATTAGGGTCAGATAACGGTCCCGCTTTCGCCTCCCAGGTAAGTCAGGGGGTGGCCAAGAGTTTGGGGATCAATTGGAAACTACATTGTGCTTATCGACCCCAGAGTTCAGGCCAGGTAGAAAGAATGAATAGAACTCTAAAAGAGACCTTGACTAAATTAGCCCTAGAGACTGGCGGAAAAGACTGGGTACGGCTCCTCCCTATGGCCCTTTTTCGAGTGCGCAACACTCCTGCATATCATGGGCTGACTCCCTCTGAAATATTATATGGAAGCCCACCACCGGCATCCTCTTTCTGTGATTTTGATCCTACCTTGTTCCCCCATCCACCCTCGTTACAGGCGCATCTCCAGGCTCTCAGAGCAGTGAGAGAGTACATCTGGAAACCGCTTGCAGAGGCCTACAAGGACAAAGACATTCCACCGTGCCCTCACCCGTTCAAGGAAGGAGACCAGGTGTATGTCCGGAGACACCAGGCAAAAACCTTGGAACCACGGTGGAAAGGACCCTTTACCGTCCTACTGACTACTCCAACCGCCCTGAAAGTCGACGGAATTGCTGCCTGGGTACATGCCTCCCACGTGAAGCACGCCAAGGATCAGCCAGCAACAGGGACTACAGGGACTGACCAGGAACCAGAATGGAAACTTCAACGAACCCCAAATCCTCTAAAGATAAGACTGACTCGTGCTTAAAAATGTACTTTCTGACTTTGCTATCTCTTCCATGTTCATTGTCAGATTATAACCCACATACCCCCCATAAAATTACCTGGAAAATCAGTAGTTTAGAAATAGGAACAGTCATAAATAGCACTCAAGTCATTGGACCGGTTGATGTTACCTTCCCAAAGTTATATTTTGATCTATGTGACCTAGTTGGAGGAGCATGGGAGACTCCCGGTCTCCCTTATTCAGGAACTAGTAGCCGGAACGCGTATGGCTGTGAGAATGTACTGGGATGGTTACACACCAGAGCCAGACCTTTTTACGTTTGTCCGGGGAGCGACCGTAGCAAAGCCAAAATCAAGCAGTGTAGGGGGGCCGAAGAAGGATACTGTGCTAGTTGAGGTTGTGAAACTACCGGGACAGTGTATTGGCTCACTGAATCGACTGACCTCATCTCAGTCAAAAGGGAAAATATTCCAGGGTATTCAGGGACAGGGCCCTGGATTTGCAGCCAGGGTCACTGGAAACAAAACTGCGGACCATGCTTTGATAGTGTAACTAGAAGAACAGGAAGCACCCCAGGTGGCAGATGCAATCCTTTAGTTATTTCTTTCACCTCGGCCGGAGAAAAAGCTGACTGGACTAAGACGAGAGCATGGGGATTGTGGCTCTACAGAGAAGGGTGGGACGCATTTACTCTGTTCACTATCTCCCGCCAAATAGAGCCCTTAGCCACCCAGTCTATTGGCCCAAATCATGTCCTGCCTGCCTTCCGCGGGCCGTCAGGACAACAGCCTCAACATCCTATAAGGCCATTTTTCAACCACACAGTAGCTCCACAAACTAGCACGCCGGCCTCCCCCACTATAGTGCCGAAAAACACGGGAGAAAGACTCATAAATCTAGTTAAAGGAGCCTTTCTAGCCCTTAACTCTTCAGATCCCGAAAGAGCCAGGGACTGCTGGCTATGCCTCAACCCCAATCCACCTTATTATGAAGGAATAGCCACAATAGCAAACATAACAAACTCCAGTAGCCCATCTCCAGTCTGCAGCACCATGGGGCACGAACTGACACTTACTGATGTCAGTGGGACAGGTCTATGTATAGGAAAGAATTCAATAAAATCTAGACTATGTAACCAGAGTTTAAATGTCCCAATAGGAAATTATTATCTGACACCACCTAATGGGATCTATTGGGCATGCAACACTGGTCTGACCCCTTGCATCTCGGCACAGGTTCTTAACGTCACCAAAGACTTCTGTGTGCTTGTTCAAGTGTGGCCAAGAATAACGTACTGAGAATAGAACGTCTGAGACTGTTCTAGCTGCCTATGAACATCCAGGGAGGGCCAAGCGAGAGCCTGTCTCTATTACTCTAGCCGTGTTACTAAGTACAGGAGGAATAGCCGCTGGCATAGCCACTGGAGCAACTGCTCTGTCGAGAACAGACTATTACCAAGGACTACACCAGGCTATGAATGAAGACCTACAGGCCTTAGAACAGTCAGTCAGAGGACTAAAAGAGTCTCTTATCTCTCTGTCTGAAGTAGTGTTGCAAAACAGGAGAGGACTAGATTTGCTATTGTTAAAAGAAGAAGGATTGTGTGCCGCCTTAAAGGAAGAGTGTTGTTTCTATGCTGACCAAACTGGAAGTGTGACTGAGACTTTAGATCGACTCAGAGACAGATTAAATAAAAGACAGAAAGAATTGTCAGCCCAACAAGGATGGTTTGAAAACATGTTCTCTCAATCACCCTGGCTAACCACTCTCATCTCTGCTCTAACAGGACCTTTAATATTGCTATTACTTCTTTTAACTATAGGACCTTGCATTATTAATCGTTTATTACAGTTCATAAAAGAAAGATTGTCAATAATTCAAGCCTTTGTATTAACCAGCCAATATCAGCCTGTACAAGAAAATGCCTGTTAATGCTTATATTTTAAGATAAAAATATGTCCTAAAAGAAAAGGGGGGAATGTAAGAGCTTAGAATAACCGCTTGATTTTGCTTCTGTATATTGCTTTCTGCTGAGCAAGAGTAGAGCCATGTTGGAATAAATATAGAAAAGTTATTTCATGAAGCAAGTAAAAGTTTCAGTTTCTCAGACATGAACAAGGCAGCTGCAGGAATAAAAGAGATAAGGTAGCAAGGCCGGAGCAGCAAGGCCAACACAAGAATGTAGTGGATAAGAAAGGGAGGCACAACAGTCTGAGAAAGTGCAGACTGTTATGCCAAGCCAAGGGAGCCCTGGCGCTGTCTAATCTTAAAGTAAAATGCTAGCTGTTATGCGAAGTTTGCGGTTTTGTCCTTTAAAAAGGTGCTTTAACCTGCTTGGGGCGCGCAGAGTCCTGGGTGCCTCCAGATTACTCTGTTGCCCATTCACGAATGCTCAATAAAATCCTCATGCTTTTTTATTTATTTATTTATTTAATTTTGACAATCCTTACAAATTTAATTGGGGTAAAAAAGGTTCAAGGTCTAAAGGGGGATATAGAGGAAGAAGCCCCACCCAGTCTCCCGCCCACCCCAAGTCCCGGGTGTGGGGTGCGCTCCGAGATACTCGATCAAGTGGTTCCAATAGTTCACCATTCATGGGTCGTTGCCAGTCTCGCCACCCCAATCATGATGTGGTCATTGAAGAGTTCATTGATTGACACAGTCCCTTCTAGGGTCTCCATTTGCCCAGTCTCTGCTGCCAACAGATGGCTGAGGTTGTTGCTTGATTTGTCCTGTCTTTCCCTGGTTAGGACTCCGAGTCCGGTGTCTCGAATGGGAAGATCCTCGAAGAAATTTTGAGGTATTCCCAGTCCAGATTCCTGCTGTTTTAGTAGCATAGGGCCGGGCACAGTCCACTGCCCCGGTCAGCTGGCGGCTGCAGTTGCTGGGCCGGTTCTATCTCCACCCGTGTCCTCTTGCAGTCCTGCCTGGTTCCACCCTGGATGCATTTGTCCCTCGCACGTACTAGTAGGAGTTGCAGCCCAGTCATGGCGGCCCACAGTAGCCTCAACCAGGCCCACCTCCTACCCTGGCTTGCCAGTATATATGGCATACTAGCCCAGTCTGTCCCCAGTACCCTTCTGTTCATATTCTTGCCAACAGGTGTTGCCACCTACTTCCATCCAACTATCTCCTCCTACCATCCCCAATGGATATTGTTGGGTGTCTGTCTAGCCACCCCAGACCCTGTCCTAGTTCCCATGCCCTCCCATGGAAGGTGATGACCCATGAGGGAGGAACCCACTCTTTCCCTCCCAGGTCGCTCCCATTCCAGTTGTGCCCTCTCCATTTGGCCCTGTGGTTCAACTCAACGTGACTAACCCTTTGTACCAGCTTCTGCCAACTGGTGCTACAACTAAGCTCCAACAACCCTCACCAACTCTGATTGTAGCTTGCTCCGGTGGGAATAGTCAGCCCAGCCTGGTTTTCACCCAATCTGGTCCCCATGAGGTGCACAGGCGCTGTGTCCCTGCCTGGTCTAGTCTACCCCCCACCCAGCTCCCACTCCTCAGTGTAATTTGCTGTTCAGCTAGGGAACCTCCCCTTTTTCTCCTGTCAGCTCTGCCGCCTCCTTTCCTGGTTCTCACATGTGTTGGTTGGGTGCTGCGGCTGCATCCGGCTCAGGCTACCTCGCCTTGGCATTCCAGCTTGTGTGTTGCTTTTGTTACGACCGGACCTGGTTCGACCCACACTCTGTTCTGGCGATCAGATTTACCAGTGGATGACCTGAACAGATTCAGCCTGGTCTGCCCCCGACCCATGCCAAATGCATGCCAGTGGGACACTTTCTATGACCTCTTGGCTGTTGCCTTGCATGTTCCTTGCGCTGACCTGCAGGGTCTGTGTCCTGCCAGAGGAGTTGCCTGAGCTGCTCCATTAGAACCCCTCCATGTGCCAGGTTTCGCGCATATCAGTGGGTCCATGTGCCAGTTCGCCTCTTATCCTAGCAGGAACAGTGGTCTTTCCTAACTGGCCATCATCCCGTTCTGGTTCTTGCTGTAGAGTGTTTCAGCCCAGCCACGGTCATTCATGCCCAAATATAGCTCGTATATGGCTAAGTTGAGGTTGGGACCTAGCCTAGTCCGTCCCACATCCACCCTGGTACTCCAGAGCACCAGAAAAATCCTCATGCTTTTTACAGCCTCTGCTTTGTGACTTGTCTTGCCGAACGGAGTGGCTCCCCTTCCACGGGGTTGGACTCTCCTCGAGTCTAACACCCTAACCCTTTCTACTCCGAGGAAGGAGGTCGACCAGATGCTCGGTGGCAATGGCCGCGAAATGTTCGCCACCAGCACGTGTTGCTGTTTGCCTATTTGTTTCCTGTGTCCTCTCAGTCTTCCTCCAACTACACCTTCCCTTCTCCCTCCCCCCTCCCGTTCAGATGTTCAATGTTAACTGACTTCCATGTCTTCTTTCTCCCCCGACCCCGACAGATTTTCCACATTTTACTACAGTGCTATAAAATTTCTCTTTTTCTTCTTTCTTTCTTTCTTTCTTTCTTTCTTTCTTTCTTTCTTTCTTTCTTTCTTTCTTTCTTCCTTTCTTTCTGTGTTCTTGGGGCGTCTTTCCAAAAACTGTTTAAAGTTTAAATTTCATTTTTTCATTGACTGATGCACTTATGTTTTTCCATTGCTTCAGAAAGAAAGGAGCGCTCGTTCTACCAGGGGAAGCTGGGCTCAACGTTGAGGGATGAGCGGCCTCTGCTTCCCCACCTGCTTGCTAATTAGCCCAACACTAACCCACCAAGACGATGCTCAGGTGTGCCGCGTCGCATCCCAGGCTACAAAAGGTATCCAGGCAAAACCGGGAGCGCGGCGGGGCCGGAGAGGAATGATTCAGTGACCTGTGCTTTATCACACACGCACACGCAGGAAAAATAATAGAGGTGCTGGGACGGAACAGTAGCCGACTGGGCACACGTGGGATGAATGGACGCGATGATCAGTCAGAAGCTAACAACTCTGGCTGGCACTCACTGCTCAGTTTTTGTTTTGTTTTGCGCTTAGGTGGATGAAGAGGGAGGGAGCACCTCACTGGGAACAAGAGTTGGATGAAGAGGACGTGTGTCGTCTTCCCTGCTGTTGCTGCCCTGCCCCCTGACGACCCCCCCCCCACCGCCACCGCCGCAGCCAAAAGGACCCACCCTGCCCCCAATGGTACGCCCCCATCACTCCTGACACACCCAAAAGCACCCACATTTCTGCTTCCTGAATGCCCCTACCTATGTCTGCCTTGCTGCTGCGATGCGATGCTAGAAGCCTGACCTTCCTGCCACCGTCTAATCCATTATGTGCCCGTCACTCCCCTTCGCTCTGGAACTACAAAGTGGGATCTGGCCACTGCTTTCTGACTGGCATGGGGCAGACCGTGAGTGGTTCTCAGGAACGACTCCCTTCTGATGTGGCCTTTCCATTGGCATATGAATTCA